CTCCCACATTGTCGCTGGTGAGACTCGATCCGTGGTCATTCTTTCAAACTTTCACCTTTATGACCAGTTGAGCTGCACATGCGAGCATGTTCCTTTTAATCTTAGTTGTGCTTCATTGTGATTTAATGATCTAGATTAGTCTCATTAGTCCTCATGTAGTCATGTTCTCACATTATATGTGTGTGTGTATATATATATTGGTGGAAAGTGGTATCGTTTTAATGGAGTAGGTAGGCATGTACGTATAGTATAATTTAAAATGGAGAACGTACTGAAGTTGTATGTATATTTGCCTTTTTTGTGCTGCTGCTATCTATATGGCCTAGTAACGTTACATATACATAGGCAGCGCTTGTGAAGCCACACAGTCAGGGCAAGAAGATATATGGTCCACCTTTTTCATACTTCCTATGTTGGATCATCCTCAATTATATGATTTTTTAGACCTTTCCATTATTTTTTTATCCTATCTTATTTTGAACTTTTGTCAATGATAAGTTAACTTTGTTGAAATGAATTTTCATCCCATTAATCAATTAGTTAACTGATGGTCGTTCTATCTATGGACTGCTAAATAATTATGGTTTAAATTTTTCATAATTCTGTTGTGTGGACTGTGGAGTATAGGAGCCTTGCAGAGAGAGAGAGAGATTTCACCTTTTATAGACAAAGTTAATTGAGATTTGATCGATGTAGTAACTCACTACTAAAAAAAAAAACTCAAATTTGCTAAGCATGCATGTCAAAGAACATTAACTAGCATCTAATGCACCGCATATAGAGTAGGTCACTACATCTTTTTCAAGAGAACTTTTTTTTTTTTTTAATACTATTGACTCTATTAGCCTATTGAAGCACAAATAGTCAATGCCTCCTTTAGTTTCAAATCTGTGATTTTCTATTTGAGAGAGCCACAATTATGTTGGTTGAGCATAAAGTCTTTTAATTCAAGAGAACTATATTATTGGTAGAAAGCTTATACATTGTATCTTTGTCGAATTTCCTCCATTTTATACTTTTATTGTTCTATTTTAGCTATTAATAATATATTATTAACATTGAGATACCCTGATAGACTACTACATATTATTTGATCGACTAATTTTTTTTATGTGACTTTTCACTTACTAATTAAATTCGTAGTATCTTGAATTCTGTAAACCCTTCATCGTAAAATAAATATTAAGAAAAAAAAAACACCAGCGGCAGTGTGGGAGCAACCTTTTAAAGTGAGAGGTTCCTTATGCGCAGTAAGCAAAGGTCTAGATTCATGTTGAGTTGAGTTACCATGATTTACATCCTCCCAAATGTTCTGTCCGTCAGGATGTGGGGGCACTTAGGGTTGAGGTTCAACCTTTTGGAAGAATATTAAGAAAAAAAAACCATTAAGCAACATGGGAGAAACCTGGCTGTGTTTGGAAACTAAAAATGATTTGTGAAAATCATTTTTTGGATTCTCAATATTTGGATACAATTGAAAAATTCAATCAACGGAAAAATTCCATTGACTGGAAAAAATCTAGTCATTTTGACGGAAAATGATTTTCATCAAAATTTGACGGAAGTCATTTTCCACCACACTCAAAACAAGATTTTCGACGGAAACAATAAGTCTGGTTTCCGCCAGAAACTAGTTTTTTCTTAAATTTTTTATAAATAATATTATTTTAATATTATTATTATAAATATTTTATATTCTAAATAAAATATTTAAAATGTATAATTATACAATTCTATTCATTTTATAGAAAATGAACCAAACACACCAAGAAAATTTTCTTCTGTGCAACCAAACACGAAAACGAAAAATATTTTCTGAGAAAATGACACATTTTTCAAAAAATATTTGACAGAAGTCCTTTTTTCTAATTTTCAAACAGACCAGGAGAAATAAAACTATCTAGACCAACCAACAATCCTTCATAGATGATGATGATGATGCCCAAATTAATGTTTAAATAAAAATTTTCTCAAGATCAAACATAATTCGAGCAAACCGTCTATTGTGTCAAAAAATTATTTTACTAAGAGCAACATCAGCACCTTTTTTTTTTTTTTTTTTTTTTTTTTTAATGAAGTGCAAGAGAGAGTGGAGATAAAATGTGAGAAAGACTCAATTTAGTTGAGAACTTACAGATTATTTTAAGTTACAAATTAGTTTTGTTTGATAAAGTATAGAGAGTTTAAAATATTAGTCTATTTTGAATTGTCAACTTAGGTAGTATTTAAAATAAGCTCCTACCTTTTTAACTTTTATTTTTTAAATTAATTTAAAAAAATGACATCATTTACCCTTCATTAATCAAAATTCTAATAGCTTAGTTTATACTTTTATGTTTTCTTATACTTATTAATTAATTCAACAATTAATTTTATTAAAAATTTAAATTTAAATTAATTAGCTACTAACAGCTTTTTAGCTTTCAGCTAAGCGTACAAAACAGACGCAAAAAAAAATAGAAGAAAAGAAAAGAAAATTCAAAATGATTAAACATGCATGCTATGTGCTACTGGCGCACAAAACTCGCACAACCATCGTTGCTAACCTTGGATATTTATAAATTTTACCATTTTAATTCTAATTATTTAAAATATATATTTTATGTTAGCTTTTATATATAATTCATTACCATTTCAAACCCAACCAAACAATTGAATTCTTATTTCAGTAATTTCTTTGTGTTAGTAATAATATATTATATAGTTTATTTGTCTATGACTGTTGTTTATTTGACTAGTCTAAATCTATTGTATAGGAGCTTTTAGTGGTAGCTTCCCTATAGGTCTCTATCCTGATTGAATGAGAATTGAGTTTGTTCATCTGGTATCAGTTAGCGTTAGGCTAGGCATCCTCCCTCTTTTTCCTCCACCACCGTATCATGTCGACAAACTCATCGGAACGTACTGTAACCACCACCCCTCCTTCTCATACAACCGGGAACTCCCTAAATGCCGCACACCACTTCGTATCTATCAAATTAACCAACCGCAATTTTCTTTTTTGGCGCACTCAAATTGTTCCATTTTTGCGCGGACAAGGGTTGTTGGGATATATCGATGGCAGCCATGTGTGCCCACGGCGACCCTCCCAGCGGCGGCACAGCCAGGCTCCTCCGGCGTCACCGCGACTGGCTCGGCTGTCGACAATCCGGAGCATACAGCATGGGTCCAACAAGATCAACTGATCTTGTCTCTCCTGATCTCGTCTCTCTCCGACGAGGTCATGCCACTAGCTGTTGGCCGGGAAACGTCACGCGATGTTTGGCTCTCCATTAATGAATCGCTGGCGTCCTCCACCCGGGCTCGATGCCTCAATTTGCTTGGCCAGTTTCAGACTCTCCGGCAAGGAAGCATGACGGCGTCAGAATACCTCGGGAAAGCGAAGATGCTCGTCGAAGCTCTGTCTTTGGCTGGCCATCATCTCTCCCTCGATGAACAGGTGTTGTACGTATTGAGGGGACTCCGGCTATAATTCAGGGCAATGGCGAGTGCTCTCACTGTGACCGGCACACCGGTCACATTATCCCAACTCGGCGATCTCCTCCAAGCACAGGACTTCATCCAGGGTGATGAATTCATGGTGGAACAGTTCGGCAGTGGTGCTCCGGTGGCCCTGTACGCCGGTCGTGGAGGGCAGAACAGCGGTGGTTCTGGACGTGGTGGACGGCACTCGAATAATCGCGCCCGTGGGCGAGGTGGCCTGCAGTCCGGCGGTGGTCGTGGCCGTGGCAGTCCCCGCTGCCAAATCTGCAGAAGCCACGGCCACACAGCCGTGTTCTGCAACAAACGGTACAGTGAGCCACCGCTGAGTGCTCACGTGGCAGTCGCTGCAACGTCACCGGTGGAATCTGGGTAGTCCGAGGCCTGGTTTCCTGACACCAGCGCTACCACCCACGCGTCGCCGGACGAACAGATGGTTGGCCTCTCCGAGCCGTACACTGGTGGTGAAGTGTTGAAAGTGGGAAACGGCGCAGGTTTGAATATCTCCCGTGTGGGTCGTACAGTAATCCCATCCAGTTCAAAAGTGTTAAACATGTCAAATATTTTATTTGTTCCGAGTCTATCATTATCACTCTTATCTGTTTATCGTTTCACTAACGAAAACAATGTCTTTTTTGAATTTCATAAAGACTCGTTTTTTGTGAAGGATTGCACTACTCGGGAAATACTCCTTAAGGGATCCGCGGTAGGCGGCTTGTACAAATTGTTGGTGCCGAGGTCGCATTTTGCTTTCCTGACCGCAAAAACTACACCTGCAGTATGGCATCAACATTTGGGTCACCCTCATAAGCAAGCCCTTCAACGCGTCCTAAAACACTGTCCGGTCATGTCGAATAAAGCTCAAGCGTCGAAAGTCTGTTCCGCCTGTCAACTTGGAAAATCATCCCGGTTTCCCTTAGATAGAGTTTATACTTCAAGTTTAAATGTATTAGATTTGTTGTATACAGATATCTGGGGCCCTTCTCCGGTTATTTCAGATTCTGGTTTCCGTTATTTCGTGTTATTTGTAGATGATTGTACTCGATTTTGCTGGTTTTATCCCTTACGGTTAAAATCAGACATCTATAAAATTTTTGATTTGTTTCGGGTGATGGTAGAACGGCGGTTTTCCCGTTCTATCAAAGCCATCCAGTCGGATTTAGGGGGTGAATACCGGCGCCTCCACAAAACTTTTGAGTCCTTAGGCATAACACACAGACAATCGTGTGCCTATACACATGAACAAAACGGGCATGTTGAACGCCGGAATAGACATATTGTCGAAACCGGCTTGGCCCTATTAGCTGAAAGCTCAACTCCATTAAAATATTGGGATTATGCCTTTGAAACGGCAACTCAATTAATTAATTGCTTACCGTCATCTGCTATATCCTATGAAACACCACACTTCCGTATACATAAAACACCGCCCCCATACACTTTCTTCCGTGTCTTCGGGTGCAAATGTTATCCGTATCTAAGACCGTACAATCGGCACAAGATCGAATATCGTTCCACACCGTGTGTCTTCTTAGGTTACCCAGTTTCCTTTAGGGGATACCGTTGTATGGACTTAACTACGGGAAAGATATTTATCTGCCGCCATATGCGCTTTGATGAAACAATCTTCCCTTTTGCTGTGCAGACTCCTTTGCAGGTTGACTCTGGTTTGGCTCCCGCTCCACCCCCTTGGGGAGCTGGACCCGTGATGGTGAAACCCACCGCTACTCCGGTTCTAGATGAACCTCCCCTAGCACAGCAGCCGGCTCCCATGGCTATAGAAGGGCCGCCCCAAACTGGGGCGAGACGGGGTCGACCTCCAGGCCGAGGTAAACGCACTCGTCCTCCGGCCGAGGATCATGTCATGCGCACCAGGGGCAAGACCCGAGGCACAGACGAGCAGTTCTATGTTCTAAACACCACTGTGGACCCTACTTGCTACTCTCAGGCTGTGGGGCACCCACAATGGCGTGACGCTATGGATCAGGAGTTCAACGCTCTAATGCATAACAACACGTGGAAACTAATCCCAGCCACACCCAAAATGAACATTATCGGTTGCAAATGGGTCTTCCGTACCAAACGCAAAGCCGATGGGACCATTGAACGCAACAAAGCCCGCTTAGTGGCAAAAGGGTTCAACCAGGTCGCGGGTGAAGATTTCTTCGACACTTTCAGTCCTGTAGTCAAGCCGACTACTGTGCGTATTATGTTCTCTCTTGCAGTATCACGCAAGTGGGTACTACGGCAACTGGATGTCCACAATGCCTTCTTAAATGGGCACCTATCCGAAACAGTTTATATGAAGCAATCACCCGGATATGAAGATCCATCACATCCAGGCCACGTCTGCCACCTACAGCGTTCGCTGTATGGCCTAAAACAAGCACCCCGAGCATGGTTCAATCGCCTGCATGAGTTTTTGACATCCACTGGTTTTTCGGCATCCAAAACCGATGTCTCACTTTTTTACTATTCAGCGGGGAGCTCACGGGTTTATCTGTTGGTCTATGTAGACGACATAATCATGATGGGTAACAATTCAGCTTTAATTGACGCACTCCTCCGTCAGTTATCGACTGCTTTCAAGATCAGGGATCTTGGTACACCACACTTCTTTCTAGGGATAGAAACAGTACCTTCCGGTGACGGTTTAGTTCTATCTCAGCGGCGCTATATGAAGGATATCCTCACGAGGTCAGGAATGACGGACTGTAAAGCTTTGGCTACTCCAGCGGCAGTCACTCAACCAGCTACACCCTCTTTAACTCCCTTCGAGAACCCTACTCAGTATCGCAGGATCGTAGGGGCGTTGCAATATTTAACTATCACCAGGCCGGATCTCTCCTTCTCGGTGAACAGGTTGTCAGTTCATGCACTCTCCGACTGATGATCATTGGGCTTTACTCAAGCGGGTGTTAAGGTACATTAAGGGGACTCAGGAATACGGGCTCCGTCTATCTCTGTCGTCCTCGTCTGATCTTCATGCCTACACTGACTCAGATTGGGCCGGATGTCCAGTTGATCGTAAGTCTACCAGCGGCTATGCTGTGTTCCTCGGCACCAATCTTGTCTCATGGGTCTCTCGCAAGCAGCGCACTGTGGCCAGGTCCTCTACCGAAGCTGAGTACAAAGGGCTTGCGGATGTTTCAGCTGAGGTCACATGGGTTGTTTCCTTACTCCGTGAACTTGGGTTACATTCTGGTACACCGGCTACGCTATGGTGTGATAATCTCGGGGCCACTTACCTAGCAGCAAATCCAGTTTTTCACGCCCGCACAAAACATGTCGAGATCGATTATCACTTCGTCCGGGACAAGGTCGCCGCAGGGGATTTTATTGTTAGTTTTGTTTCCACCAAAGATCAGCTGGCAGACATTTTCACCAAACCTCTACCAGCCCCACGCTTCCAGGCGCTACGGGACAAGCTCAATGTTGTCGCCCTCCAACCTTGTGCTTGAGGGGGTGTGTTAGTAATAATATATTATATAGTTTATTTGTCTATGGCTGTTGTTTATTTGACTAGTCTAAATCTATTGTATAGGAGCTTTTAGTGGTAGATTCCCTATAGGTCTCTATCCTGTATTCTCTTTCCTGATTGAATGAGAATTGAGTTTGTTCATCCTTTGTCGCCAACCAAACAATGAAATCTATATATCTTTCTGATAATTTATTTTTCTATGAAATTTCAATTTTATTTTTTTTTCAAATATTTTTTACAAACGAAACGGACGATAAAACTTACACTACTCAACAATCTCTCTCCTCTAATCTCACTTTTCCCCTTCTCAAAAATGGGACAAAAAAACTTGTAACACCCTTCTATTAGAATGCTGTTTATTAAGAAAAATAACATATATTGGTTAAAAATGAAATATAGGAGTAAATTTGATGTGGCAATCGAAGTTGACAAAGACATGGAGAAGGCGATGACGTGGCTAGATGTGGGTGGTTGAATTGGAAGAGGCGGTGTCCCAACTACTGTAACTAAATGGAGTTGGGAACCCAAACAGAGCTACGTTGGTTTACCGAATGAGGAATGAGAATTGATGTCTGAATATAAAGAATAATGCAAACCAAACACTGATTTGTCCACATATCCATGCCCACGCGCCTCTCTGTTATTTGTTATACACACTCCCATATGCACTAAATATTTATACTACAAGTATAAATATCATGCAATTATACCACTTGCAAATTCAACATGAATTTTTCTTTTCTTTTTTATTTTATTTAATCTTAGGTGTTGCAAATCTGACAAATCAGAATTGCAATTTTTGCAATTCTTGTGTCAAACTTGCAACAACAAGTCTTGTACTATTTTATTATATTATTATTATTATTTGATTGATAAAAAGTAATTTTTTATAAACTGATGTGAAAGTAGAATCACTTATGAGAAAGAATTACATGGATGAAAATTGAATAGTGATTAATTACAAATTTATTAATATGACATTTTAAAAGTGAGAAAAAAATTTATGAATGCGGATATAAACTGCAAGTGACATATGGAAGTGAATATATAAGGGGAGTATCCATCACACTTAACTCCAATCTCACTATTCTACTAAAAATTGCTGCTATTTGATTTGCTTTTTCGTGGATATGTTGATTTGAACACCTCCAATATTGTCTCAAACACTTTGAAATTGTCTCAAGCAAGTGATTTGTGGGAAATTTTCTTCTTATCACCCTTTTTAATTTTCTCTGCTACTATATTGGAATTGTTAGCATGACTAGTATTTTATATTTATTATTCTTATAATGTATAGTCATAGATTAGTGGTTGTAATTCTATTTGACTTAGCTCTGATACCAGATTAGAGAATTCACCTCAGATTAGATTTCACAAAGGATAGAATTACAGAGTATATCGTAGAACAGGAATCACTTTTCAATATCATAAATCTATATCACCTAGTCCAACAAGGTTCAAGGCTGCAAAGTGGTATGACTTGTGGTTACGATCTTTTGACCATCTCCAAAGTGGATTAATTAGTCCGTTTGTTGGGATTGTAAGATGGGTTATTTGGGTCTGCATTATTTCCTTGTCTTATTAATTTATTATTAGTAGCAAATTTTCAATACTTTAAGAGAACGTTTGATATTTTTTCATCAATTAAATTCATGGTAAAATAATTTTAAGGAATGTATTCACCCTCAAAAAAAAAAAATTTAAGGAATATATTCAATAGAAATACCTTGGAAGGAAATATTAATTAACATGTTTGGTGTTACACTAAAAAATATAAGAATTAAATTACTTAAAAAATTAAATAAGATGTTTGGTTTATTCATTTAAATTTTCTTATGATTTTTTTTAAGTCTCTAATATATCTTTACTATATGCAAACGTTTAAAAATAATAAATAATTAGAAAGTTTAATAAATCACTTGTAAATTAATAAATCATATGTCAAAAATTACCGTCTACAACAAGAATATTCAAAATACAAAATAATATGTATGTAAAAAAGTGTTTAGATAAACAAATTTAATTGATAAATAGTATTGTTATCTTGTATAATGATGGGAGAGAAAATTTTATTATATTTATAAAAAACTTTTAACATGATGACAAAAATGATAAATACATACGTAATTGAATACATTTGGTATATTTCCCTTCATCCGGGAAAAAGAGTTCTATCTCTCATAGGTGAGATTTACTTTCATTAATATTATTGATTCAATTTTTTCTAAGTCAAATATTACACCAAATGTGAAAATAATTTTATACGGAGTACATTTTAAATTATCATGAAAGTTTAAACTTTGTTGACTAACAAACACTATCTAAAGGTTTGAGCCATTATTAATATATTATTATTAATAAGTGTCATTGTTCTATGATATTAACTTAGCTTTATGGTTGACTTGCTCCTTTGAAAACCATTACATCCATAACACAAGTATCATATTGTATTATACAACAAACATTTTCTAGAAACTTAACTTATCTTCGATTATTACTAAGATATGAAATCGCTCTATAAATAATATATATTAGATTCACACACATATATGATGATAAAGTAATAATTCATTTTTTTATACAACAGAATAAATAATAAAAGGTATTTTTAAATATAGTAGGTAAAACATCCAAGCTATTAACAAAGAGCACTGAGTATAAATCCTCTAGAGAATTTTCAAATATTCAAAAATCTATATATGAGTTGTTATGATCAATTGTCATTCAATGGGTACAAATATTCAATCTTTACGAATGTACTTATGAGTAGAACTCCAATCATAACTCATGAGAGCTCTAATACAATACTATCATAAATCTAAAATGGTAAATCATTGCATAATATTACGAATACTAATAATATTTTGCAACTTTTTTATTGTTGGGGACAACTAATAAATGTGAATTATACTATAATTATCAAACCTAGTTAATGTAGTAGCTACAAGTAATAAAGACTAGCTAGGTGGGGGATCACATATGCCCAATACTACAGCAATTTTTATTTAGTTAGAATAACAATTATCACTCAACTAATTTTGGAATCTTTCACTTAACCACTCTAACTAAAATATAAATAAAAATAAAAAAGGAAATATAAATAAAACTAAAAACAATTCCAAATTGCAAACAATTCAAATAAAACTGAAAAAGGAAATATGGCTTTGGTTTGGGACTTGGGTGTTTGGGGTTTGAAAGTGCGTCTCACGCGTCTAAGATGAAGATGGGGGCGAGGGGGTATAGTGTTATTGCATACTTGAACAAGTAATGTTGGAATATATAAAAATTAATAAATGTACAAAATAAAAGGAAAAAATGGCTGGAGGGTCCCTACATTATTGTACGGATATAAATATATGTGATGTGATAGGGTCGTATTCGCCGGGATACCATTCCGGGGGGTCCGTATTTGTAGTATTAATCACTCTTGTCAATTGTCATAATTCATTATTTGTATCACATCATTTTTTTTTCTTTTTATTTTTTGTTTGTGCGTAGCTTAAGGTTTTCACCATCAAAACAGCGACTAATTCCTTCACTAAATTATAAACATTTTTATTGGATGAAACAGATGATTTGGAGATTTAAAGTTACGTATCACATCACCTTTTTCATCCCATTCTATTGCCTAACTCCTAACCCCCCACCCCCTCCCCCCACCCCAACGCATTGCATTAAATTGTGTTTGGTGCAAGTGATATTGAAAACTACGGAGTAACTAATAAAGTAAATATGGAAGTCTGAATTAAACAAAGCGAATAAATTGTATTATTGATGATAAGCATGAGAAAAGACTACACTATTGTTATGTGGGACGATATTAAGTGGTTACAAGTAAATTAGGAGTACAAGCAAAAAAGTTGCGGCTGTCTATCTCTCCCTCATTCTAAGTGCAATAAATGTGCTTTTATATAGAGGGAATTCAATGACACACGTCGATCTTCCAGCATGTTCTCCACGTAGCCTTAACGCATTCGGGTGCAAAGGAGGTTGTTCTAGCCACACACATAGCTTGCTATCAGGCTATCAGCTTGACAAGAAAATAAGTCAAAAAAATTTAACACAAAGCTTTTTTTTGAATAACTCGATACGTTTGCATATCTATGTACCATAAATAATTAGAAAAATTATAATTTTAATCTCTCAAATGTTTGACACGCTTAGTTGAAAAGCGAGTAGCTAATAAGCTAACTAATTAAAATTAAAGTGTTTGGTAAATTGTTGAATTAGTTGATAAGTGTAAAAATACATAAAAGGATAAATTAATATATTATGATTTTGATTTATGAAAGGTAGATGATGTCATTTTTGTAAATTAATAAAAATAAAAAAAGAAAAGAGTTAAAAAGGCAAGAACTTATTTAAAAATGCTACATAGGGTAACATTTCAAATAAATTATTATTTTAAGCTACCATGCATATTTTAACAAACAAAGCTTATAGCTCATAGAGGCAGCGGCTCTGTTTGACAGAGCTTATTTAGGAGCTTATAGTTTATTTTAAGCTACTAATAAGCTATAAGCTCTGTTTGGTAATATTTTCAAAATAAGCTCGTAGCTTAAAATAAGAGCTTATTTTGGAACGCTATCTCATGTAGCGTTTCAAAATAAGCTAGTAGTTTCATAACTTTTTTTTTTCCATCTTTGTTATTATTTTAAAGAAATGACATCTTTTATCCGTCACAATTAAAATCTTTTTTTTTTTTTTTCTCTTATCCTTTATCCGCAACTTTCACTGCAATTATTATTATTATTATTATTATTATTATTATTATTATTATTATTATTATTATTATTATTATTATTATTATTATTATTATTATTATTATTATTATTATTATTATTATTATATGAATGAGATTCGCAACAATATTGCTACTTCATTATGCGATCCTAAATCATGATTATGCTAATAATTTTGTTTCAAAATGTTAATTTTTTTAAAGACAAAATGTTAAATTTTAATATGTATTCAAATTAATTTAAATTTGATGAAGATGTCATTTTTTGTCTTTTTACATTTATCACCTTATTAAAAAGCTAATTTTATCAAACACTTTCAAGCATAACAGTTCTTCAGTTTTCAGCTCCTAGCTTATAGCTTTCCAAGTTTTAGCTCCTTTTAAGCTTTCAGCAACCTTTTCAGTAGGGATGTCAATTTAGCCCGAACCAGATGGGCCAACCCGAAAAAAACCAAAACCGACAGGGCTATAGTCCGAACAAGCTAGCCCGATAAAACACATTAGCCCGACGAGCCCGAAACCGATTAGCCCGATGGCCCGATAGGGCTAGCCCGAAATTAAAAGGGCTAGCCCGACAACCCGAACTATTGAAAACTATTCTTTATTATAAAAGTGATATGAAACTTAACATACATGGAATAATTATTATACTTTAAAATAAATAAATAAATAAATAAATAA